TTCAGCCCTGGTTGGTTACCAATGATAAGTTCTGCACACGGTGAACTTAAAATAGCCATGTCCATCTTCTTAGTGGTATATGGCGATTTGACCCAAACTGATGCTATTCTGAATTTTTCTATTCTACCTCCGAATGTTCTGCATCTAACCACTTTATCAGTCATATCCTCTGGTTTCACTAATGACTTATGTATACCTGAGATCGTCGCCCCTGTATCTCTTAAAATCGAGACGATTCGATTACCAACTATTCCTTTATGTAGGTTTAATTTCCCACAGTCTTTCACAGAATTTGCATTATGCACCGGTATCTTATGTCCACAGGGTAAGTCTCCATATTCTTGAAACGTTTCACATATTGTGCATTTGTCTTCTTCTAGTAACACTGCTGCATTTGTTTCTGATATATCACTTTCTGACTCGGAGTCTGATGTTTCACAAACTGCTGCTGCTTTAAATTCTTTCTTATATTTACAAAATTGACGCGTGTGTCCATAAAATCCACAAGCCCACCATTTACTTGAACTATCATATCTCTTTACCTTTTTCCTCCTGTTTTCAATTTTCTTTCTGACTTCTTGTTCATATCTTACATCGGCATCGCATAAAGTTTCATTACCATGTCTTTTTTTGCATATGTCACAATCTATTTTTGTTATTTTCCTTCCTCCATTAACTCTTTTTCTGGATGGATATGCTGATCTATTATATCCTGCTTCATATGACTTTTGTCCTTCGGCACTGGCTCCTGAGTATATATCAGTGTTTTGTGGTATGAGAAAAATATCACGATGTGCTGCATAATAATTTTCTCCTAGTTGTTCAAGATGTTTTAACGAAGTAGGTTTGTGTTCCTTCAGAAATGTGGTCATAGGTTTTGGTAATGATTCTAGCAATTTACTTCTTAATAGTAAATCAACTAACAGATCATAGTCGTTGTTAATTTTGGCTGAATCTACCCATTTCTGAATAGTTGTCTGAACTTCGGACATATAATCAACAAATGTTTGAGTTGATTTTGGTTTTAAATCAATGAATTGCAATCTGTATCCTGCTTCTTGTAGGTCATAGTGCCTCATTATCCGGTCTTTAATATAATCAAAATCAAGTCGTAAATTTTCTGGCACTGTCTCCAATATTTTTAACGGTTCTCCCTCCAAGGTGTCTTTGGAACAGTATTGCCCAATCTTCTTTTGGAATTTTATGAAACCGAACTTGTAGTAAAAATGCTGAAATCCTCCATTTCTTTTGTTCTTATCTGTGCTTCAACCTTTTGTCTGTCTGCTTCTATTTGTGCTGCCAACCGCTGTTGTTCAAGTTTTATCTCCTGTTCTTTGATTTCTTTCTCATGTTGTAACTGCTTGTCTTTCATTGCTGCCTCGTGGGCACGTGCTTCTGCTTCCTGGGCGCGTGCTGCGGCCCTTTCTTCACGATCCAATTGTTGTTGAACCCTTTGTGCTTCTTTGTCTTCCTGTTCTCTTCCTTCACAGAATTTTCTTAACTCCTCTCCTGATAACCCTAACTGTTTTCCCAGATTTATGTATTCTGCTAGGTTTAACATTTTAGAACTGATTACTGTACTTTATTACTTTTGAAACTGTTTAAATTTAAGATAAGTCCCGTATTATTTAATTTATACCCTTCTTTAACTAAATAATTGAGATTTTAATTATATCCCTTAACAAATTTACACTCAACTAATAAATAAAAAAAATATTATCTATTTTACTTAAATAGAATAATAGAATATCACAATCAAAGAACCTGAAAATCGAAAAAAGAAAGCATGTAACAATGTAATGAGTTGATTCTTTTTCCTTGGTCCTGGTGATGGCTCCCTTGCTCTTCTGCTGTTGGAATGGACTGGATTAGGTTTGTGGCCCTTGATGCTCCACTGCACGTCTTTACTGTCTCTGGACACGCTCTTCTGATCTTTGTAGGACACTACTCTTGTCTTCTGTCGTGGTCCAAGTCTGCAGATGATCTTAAAAGACTACCATTAGTTTATGCTCATTCAATAATTCAAATATGTCCAAAAGTCTTTATACCATGTAGTTTAACAATCTACACTGAAGTTGATCAGTTGGCACAGATCACCAAATGTTCACAGTTAGCGCATATTAATTTCACTAATTGTCACCACAAACTGTTGATAAATGTTAGATTCTCACTGAAATACTTTTCTTACAGAGAATGTATGTAGTTCTACTCTACAACCTGAATAGTCATAGTCTATCACATTAATCACTGTTTTTACTGTCTATCCATTATAAATTGTAAACATTTCGTGACGTAATTAATGTTGATAAACACCACTCCTTCCTTGCCTACACAATACACACTTGAACTCACCTATACGGACGTATTATAAACATTTAGTAGTAAAAGTACTACTTCTGGTGCTGACTGGACCCCGTTCTTTTTTATTGACAAGTATTCTTGACCTGAGGCATTCACTTGTGGACGGTGTGCTGTACGGTTGCCTCGAGTTAGCTGTCGCTGATGACGTTTTATCTGCTACTGTGTTGTACTTGACCGTTGTTGATGACCTTGCACGCTGTAACTGAGTGCCGTCTCGGCCCCTGGCAATGCAGTGTTCTTGCGGTGAAATCTAGTCCGAAATTAGTATCTCTGGTTTATGACCTCTTGTTTGACGAACAAAACCCACGTTAAACAACGATCACAAGGATACTGCTGCATACAATTTTCCGTCGTGGATTACCCACCACAAGGGTCAAAAGTTCAGCTTACACAGTCTCTTCCAGCGACGAACAAGCGTTCCCACGTCGCGGGATGAAACTTGTGCAATTTTTTTCACACGTGAAGTGAATACATTACCCAGTATTGTTTCGCCGTGTTTCTACCAATTTTTCTCAGGCTAGCTTGTTTGTTTCAGAATGACTAGAGTCTGGAATTCAATTGTCCCGGTTTTACTTAATGCCCTTGACAGCATGTCCTGGTCTTACATAATACCCCGACATTTCTTTAAACTCCATCTTCCAACACACATAGTCACTCAAAACTTACGGCTGCCGGTGTTTGCCTAAATTTTACTTCTGTCCACAAAAACACTACGTCTAATGTACTGGCATAGTTAGAACAAGCCTGCACTGTAACTCATACTTATAACTTACAATGTATTCGCACTTAGGACGGGTCCCCAATGTAATTATTGCCCTTTTGTGTCTCCTCCACACTGGCTATCTGTGGTGCAGAGTTAACACTGGCTCTGATGTCTAGAGGTTCAAAGCAGACATGATCCTCTTCATGGTCACACGTCTAACAACGGTTAACACCAGCGGCACATTTCACGAGTTTATTTACACGTTAGCTCAATACACAAATCACAGGTGAATCCACTTACAGCATTCGGACAATAGACGTTGACATATTCACAGCTGGCTTTGACAATCAAACAGTGTACCATCACAGCTGGCCTTCTCGATCATTCATTACTCGCCGATTCAGATCCACATGCTCTAGTCATTCTCCATTCATCTTCACGGCTTCATTTCCCATCCTTTCTCTCTGGGGCCCAGTCACCGAATGACCGCCTGATTCTCAATCCCCCAGATCTCCCCATTCACACGTGACTCACTCTTTTCTGTCGTTTCGCCATATCTCCGTGAAACCCATGCTCTCCGGGACTTCCCCAGTTATGCCAATCATCCCCTGACATTATCCCTATTTATAACATCATTACACCCGGCAAAAACTGACCGTGATTCCGATGTCTCTCTTTAACACAATATTGTACCATCGTCTTAAAAACTGCAAACTGTAATTCAGTTCTGGGATTTGTATTTATGATGCCAAATGTGACAAATATGGGGACTTCTTTCTATTAATTTCATGTGCATTCGAAATACTGATTGAAATGTTTATTAACAACAGTAAGTCAACTATATGGTATTTGTTTTTAAAATAATTTACCAGCATAACTGAAATACTTTAATCTTGTGTTCCAGATTAAACATGATTAGGTCAAGAATGACTCCAGTCCGCCCCTGTCAGTTGAGAAGAAACAAAGAGACGAGCGCCAACGTGAGCAGCAGATTCAAATGAACTATTAGTTTGATACTATTTGAAACTGGAGTAATTTATTATAATTTTTGCGGTATCATAGCCAATGGCGGTTTACTGAACGTCACTTTTGTCGCAGCACAGCTGAAAGTTTTTCTTTCACTTGCCAGTTTTCCAGCTTCTCATTGCCTTGGCATCTTCAGTATCTTAGTATCTTGTATCCAAGTTTGCGTAGGTCAGCATCTGCTTTGTTTTCCCGAAACTGTGCCTTCAATCACCGCAGGATGCTGTTTATGAGACAATTCTCCTCGATGCTTAGATCAAGCAGGATGTCGGTGTTGCGATATAGTGGGTATTTACCGTGAAATAGACACATACTATTGATGTATCAAAACAAAGTACTGGTAAGGTTTGCCAAAACTTGACCTGACTGTTATCGCTTGGGTCGGCATAACCAATGATAACGTATAAAAGTTGTAGAAAATGTTGATATTTTGATCGAGTATACAAACCTGTAAACTCCATGGGATTGTGATATTCTCCATGCAGTATCCGTTTCAGGGCAATCATGGGTACTGCCAATAAACTGAACAGTAAAAACATAACAATGAAAGATGCCAATGCAGAATGCTGATTTCTTGCTAATATCAAATGTTTTTTTTTTTTTTTAAATTACGAATAAGGATCTGCCAACGATTGTGACAGAAACTACACAACAACACTGTTCACTCCTTGTGTACCAGAAGGTATTACCGGAAATATCCACACACACACAAAGTTTGATTTAGTTGTTGTAAGCGTACAGCATCTTGGCGGGCGGAAAGTAACTTAACAGTTTTGTGAATTATGGACAAAGAATGAGCACTATGAACAACGCAACAGACGCCAAATGCCACTTCAACATTTTCGGGACCTTCCATATAAACCAGCTTCAAGTGGTGCTGGGTTTCATTGTGATAAACATTAACATATTGATTATGGTAACAATATTCAGGACAAAAAGGCTACACACCAACACGAACATTTTCATTCTGTCAGTTGCTTTACTTGATTGTTTCATGGCAGTATCTGACTTCGTGCAAGGAATAATTTACAGCACGGCTGTCAAGATTAACATTCATAATACAAACGTTATGGATGCAATCCTGTTTGGAACAGGATATAGCGCTATAACCTTGTCATGTACACACATGGCAATTATTGCTATTGACCGCTATGTAAACATCGCCCATCCGTTTTACTACATTTTAAATATAACCAAACGACGCGTCATTGTATTGCTGCTTATTGCCTGGATGTTTGGCTTGGTCTATTGCAGTGTTCCTATAATATTGTACCGAGATGGCAAATATCATGCAAAGTGCATTTCAGTGCATCCTCCATTTGAGTATTTCATTACTAACGTATTATTAAATATCATTGACTATGTTATAATCTTTATATGCTATTTCAAAATATCGTGTTTGGCTTTCCAACATAAAAAAGCCGCCAATGCCCGTAGACTACAAACTGAAAACCCCACAAATGTTTTCAAATTACGAAACAATCGAGCAGCGGCCATGAAAAGTGTCAAATTTTTCGTTTTACTGTTTGGAACATTTTTTGTTTTCACTTGTCCCCAAATGCTTACACAAGGAATGGTGTTTTTGTCATGCAGCATACCAGAAAATGTAGTGTTCTTCATGGGTAACTTATATGATGTGCATTCAGCCATGAATTGGGTCATTTACTTTCATTTCAACAAGGGTTTCTCAGATGGGTTTAAGAGATTGCTGTCAGATATGAGTACTTTTGGACGGAAACCATGTGGAGGCTGTGATAGAAGAAATAATTAGGTGTTGTTAAGCATACAACTACTAATCTTTCAAAAGTTTTTATGAACCTGTAATTCTGGTCATTAGGTAATTTATTGAGTTTAACAGAAATTAAAACTAATACTTAACCTAAAATTGCACAAGCAGCATCTATTGCGCCCACGACATGCTTGACAACCCATACATCAGACCACCTAATATCACTGCCTAGATTCCACTAAAATCATGAGCGACCGGCACCTAATCCCGAAATACCACATCCACCCCTTTATCATAATTTTCTAAGCTGACACATCAGCAGGACGACGTGATCCCACAAGTTCCTGTTTTTTCCCTCAAAAATAAATACAAGTTTAGCATCATATACTCAAATTATTTCCCGTTTTGTAAAATATACATAACATAGCACGGCAGGCCATTGCAGATAGCACCATGCATTGTGGTTGCATAATTCAGCACTAGGCGGGGCGGTGGCACCATGCAACCTAAAAAGAATCTATCCTACTACTTTGTCAGTGTGTCGTCAGTCATTCAGTATGTTGTGCTAATGCCCTTAGTTACAGCCTCGGTTTCCAATGTGAGGCTGCTTGTGGTAATAGTAAAGGCGACACTTATCTCTCTGGTTGTTCCCCCTTTGAGTTCACTGTGAAGGCCCTTGCACGTCGCTTGCTCCAAAATATAACTGATCAATCCATGCAAACAACATGTTCTCGTCAGTTAACGGTTTTATCAGTGAGTCAGCTATGCCAGGAATCTACTCTCTGTGGCTTGTTTCAAGGCTGATTTCGAATTCTTGTCGTCTGTTGTTCTACAGCTTATGCTGTAAAGCGTCGCAGAGAAGAGTTAGGTGCATTTTCCTGTCTTATGCTAGTTGTGTAGTTTGTGTTAATGTCATATTGCGTTTCAGTAGTGTCTATGTTACTCCCTCTACCCATCTCTTTCTTGGTCGGCCTCTTGCCTTATAGCCTGTTGTTCTTGTGTAGTAAGCTCTAGCAGTTTGCTGAGTTAGATCCATTCTGACCAGATGACCAAACCATTTGATTCTTTGATGCTCAATGAAATCATTTACTGCTACTTTGCCTATTATTGTTCTTCAATCTTTGTTGGTGACTTTGTGTCTTCTTGTTGTTCAAGCCGCATTTCTTATACATCTCATCTCGCATGCTGTAGTTTTGTGTTTTGGTGGACTGTCCATGTTTGGCTTTGTAGCACAAAGTTGGTACGAATAGCGTATTTGTCAGTGTTGTGAGTGTGTGTGTGAGTGTGTGTGTGTGTATGCTGATATTTCGTTAATTTAAAAGCGGTGCTGTTTGGTGATTTATATTGTTGGTCTTCTGTATTTAGTTGTTTATTTCTTTGCTCAGTCGTCCATCTTATGTGAATATACTGTTTAAGTACTTATACTATTTAATTTGCTTTAATGTCACACCCTCAACAGCCATGATATGATGATATTAAGTGTGATATTAACTGTTATGTTCATTGTAGTCCCTGCATGCCTGCTTTGTAGTTGTCAGTCCCCTTCGAACGAATTTTTAACACGAATTCGATTGTCGGTTGCTTGGAATTTGTGTTAAAGAGGTTTGACTGTTTTAATTAGCTGAATAGACTGGCTTCGTAGTTTCGCTCAGGAGTGCTATTTCTGCCGCGATCTCTAGGGATCGTCACTGGGGCTACGAATTTCGTGCTTTGTGACACCCTTTTGTCAGACAGCTAGCTGTTCTGAGGAGAGACGCCGTACCATATAGGATCAAACCTGGTGCAATGACATAGATTCTCTCCCAGTTTGCATGTACTAAAGATCTTTTTAAATAATAATTCAACTGAATACATAGTGGATAGCTCGTTATATATGTGTACGAAAAACTTCAAAGTATTAATCAACTGAAATCATAGTGGATAGCTCCTTATATGTGTGTACGAAAAACTTCAAATTATTAATCAACTGAATACATAGTGGATAGCTCGTTATATATGTGTGCGAGAAACTTCAAAGTATTAATCAACTGAAATCATAGTGGATAGCTCCTTATATGTGTGTACGAAAAACTTCAAATTAATAATCAACTGAATACATAGTGGATAGCTCGTTATATGTGTGTAAACAAATATAATTATGTGTATGTGTGTGTGTGTGTGTGTGTCCATCAAGATGATGATGATGACCACTCTTTTTCATCAAGTATGAGTACGAAGATGACTGATGAGGCTGATGCGGGCCCGAAAAGTTCTTGGACAGTAAGGACAGGGAATGAGTGTTGTGCTAGGGAGGGGATTTCCTGCAATCGCTTTTCTGTCCATCCTTTTCTTAATAAGTCTCGCTGTTCAGTTTGCTTCACATGTAGCAGCGCTCTTGTGTAAAGTTGCACGTCATGCATTTCGGTTTTGAGAGGCAGCCTCCAAATTGGTGTCATTCATCCCAAATGCTTTGAGTGAAGACTTTAAGGTGTTCTTAAAGTGTTTCTTTTGCCCGCCTTGGGAACGTTTCCTATTTTGCAGCTCACCATAGAAGAGTTTTTTTTTTTGGGGGGGGGGGGGGGGGTAGCCTGTGATCTGGCAGGCGTGCCACATGACTGGCCCAACGAATTTGATACTGCATCAGTAGAGTATGGATGCTGGACATTGCTGCTTTCTCAAGGACTACGGTATCATGTACTTTGTCGTGCCATCTGATTTGCATTAGTTTTCTAAGGCAGACTGTGTGAAAGTAGTTTGACTTTCTAGTCCATGTTTCGCATGCGTACAGCTTTGTAGTTAATACAACTGCTCTGTATACTTTAAGCTTTGACTGCAGGGTTATGCCACTTCTGTTCCAAACATTTTTGTACAATCTGCTAAAGGCAACACTAGCCCTAGAGACCCTTGCATTTACTTCGTCATCAATTGTGGCACACTGTGAAAGGGTGCTGCCTAGATAAGTAAATTTACTGATAACGTTTAATCTGTAGCCGTTCACTGTGATAGTGGGCTCGATGTATCTTTGCCCTGGGGCTGGCCGGTGCATGGCTACAGTTTTATCTTTGTTGATGGTAAGCCCAAAGTTTGTACAGGCATCACTGAATTTGTCGATGTTGAATATATAGAATATGTATATGAATATATATGAATATACAGTGGATGACTCGTTATTTGTGTGTACGAAAATATGAATATACAGTGAAAAGCTCGATATGTGTATGTACAACAAAAACACAAGCAACACAATTTCTGATTATTAAACAACTAAACAGACAGTAAGCTGTCCACCTTTCACCACACATGTCTACGTAGAATTATCAAAATTTCTGGCCAGAAACAATCTCAAACACTAAACTACTTCAAGTCACAAAAACTCTAGACAGTATGATAACCAAGAGAAGATGGAAATAGCTTGGTCACATTATGAGAATGAATCCTGATATACCTGCAAAAACAGCTCTTCCATGGACACCAGATGGAAAGAGAAAGAAGGGGTGCCCAAAAACAACATGGAGACGAACGATGAAGAGTAACCTGAATGCGGCATCTCTGAAATGGAAAACATGCACCGAAGATTGCACAGGACAGGAAAGCATGGAAAGTCCTCCCTGAAGCCTCATGTGCCACTAGGCATAAAGAGGATTGATGATGATGATTGATGATTATGAAATAGACAGTAGATTCTCTTTGCACCACATGTTCTTCAAGAAAAAGGGCAATAGGCCTAAAAGGGGCAAATCATGACTGAGTAGGGCAGAGGATCACATCATGCAGGTTTGCAGCCTTACAGACATCCATCGAGATGAGGAGTGGATACCAGCGTCTAAAGCGCCCAGTCTCACATTCTCCCGTGTCGTGACGCTCGACAGAAGTTGTCGGGAGCAGAATCCAGCTGCTGTCAACGCCGAGGTAGGAGCTCTAATCAGTGGCAAGTCAGATAAGACAAATGTGATGATCTTTACAAACGGGTCCGTTATACGAGGACATAAGAGTGTATGGGCATTTACAGCTCGTTCTTCAGGCAAAACATTTCAAGAAGCCAGCGGTGCCTTCTCCATGACCACCAGCAACATGACGATCGAAGTGATGGCGGTGACACAAGCTTTCATGTGGCTAGAATCACAGGACTATTCCCGCGTGTGTGTGTGTGCTGACTCTTTGAGCATGATCCGGCGGGTTTCGAGGCTGGCTGGTTTGAGTCATTGCAAAACACTCTCTGTGTGCAGTTACCTTCATATTTATCCCAGGGTATGCAGGCGTTGTTGGTAATGAAAGAGCTGATAGACTGGCATATGCTGCATTAATTAAAGATGACCGGCCCATGGATCACGCAGACATTGTTATTGTCCTTAGAGAGATAGGACAGTCTGAGAATTTCGGAAGCAACGTGTCCACATCACTGCTAGGAATACGCGAATTGGGAGTGAAGATCGGCAAAGCCAAGCATGAGAAGTCTTGTTAACCAACTTGGACTGGCACTATTAATCGTACGACGCTGACGAATATGTTGAGAGGGGAATCTGAGCCCCTATGGATGTGTCCGGAGTGCTGTGGCGATAATCTAACTCATAACCTTTAACTCATAACAAATCCTGTAAAGAAACTACTGAATGAATAGTAGACACGTAGTACACGAAAAGCTTCTAATAATTTATTAAACATGGTATTTGTCAGGAATTAAAAAAAAAAATTTGATCCAGTCTACTTCTTTTTCTTCTTCTTCTTGGCGTTCACCAGCTGCAAACTCTGGCTGAAAGTTCTGGTTGTTCATCAACTTCTGGACTGCAGTCCTGTTCCAGACCTGAGTGTTGCGTGTGCTTCCGTTTTACAGATCTGACTCATCTGAAACAGACTGTTGGTTCCTTGCCTCTCAGGCAGATGCACTTCGATTACGAAGGAAGCTCTCAATTAAACGGTTTTTACAACATTTTTTTTTTATATAGGCAGTGGGTCTATTGTTGTTTTCCCTATAACAGGAATGGTTCAGTATTTAATAAGGTATACAGATAGCAGACACTGTCTTATGTATGTACGGAAAAGTTCTCATTAGTGTCACTATCACA